CCTCACTCAAGGAGAAAGATCTTGGGGTGAGTATAACACCGAGCATGTCTCCGGAAGCACACATCAATCAGATAACTGCTGCGGGCATATGGGCGCCTGGCAAACCTGAGAACAGCATTCCGATACCTTAGTAAGGAATCATTCAAGACACTGTACACCGTGTATGTCAGGCCCATACTGGAGTATGCAGCACTTGTTTGGAACCCGCACTTGATAAAGCACGTCAAGAAACTAGAGAAAGTACAAAGGTTTGCGACAAGGTTAGTTCCAGAGCTAAGGGGAATGTCCTATGAAGAAAGATTAAGGGAAATCGGCCTGACGACACTGGAGGACAGGAGGGTCAGGGGAGACATGATAACGACATATAAAATACTGCATGGAATAGACAAGGTGGACAAAGACAGGATGTTCCAGGGAGGGGACACAGAAACAAGAGGCCACAATTGGAAGTTGAAGACACAAATGAGTCAGAGAGATAGTAGGAAGTATTTCTTCAGTCATAGAGTTGTAAGGCAGTGGAATAGCCTAGAAAATGACGTAGTGGAGGCAGGAACCATACACAGTTTTAAGACGAGGTTTGATAAAGCTCATGGAGCGGGGAGAGAGAGGGCCCAGTAGCAACCGGTGAAGAGGCAGGGCCAGGAGCTAAGACTCGACCCCTGCAACCACAAATAGGTGAGTACACACACACACACACACACACACACACACACACACACACACACACACACACACACACACACACACACACACACACACACGCACGCACACGCATATACAACAGGCCTAGTGTCTAATCGACATGTGCCTAGGACAAAATGGTAACTAACAAGGTGGACAGAGACAGGATGTTCCACAGAGGGAACACAGAATCAAGGGGTCACAACTGGAAGCTGAAGACTCAGATGAGTCACAGGGACGTTAGGAAGTATTTCTTCAGTCATAGAGTCGTCAGGAAGTGGAATATCCTAGCAAGTGAAGTAGTGGAGGCAGGAACCATACATAGTTTTAAGAAGAGGTATGACAAAGCTCAGGAAGCAGAGAGAGAGGACCTAGTAGCGATCAGTGAAGAGGCAGGGCCATGAGCTGAGTCTCGACCCCTGCAACCACAATTAGGTGAGTACACACACACACATGCACACACACACACACACACACACACACACACACACACACACACCACACACACACACACACACACACACACACACACATTCACACACATTGAATGAGGGGATACACAGGGATATGCAGTGGGAGAATGAAAGGGTGAGGTCAGTCTTTGTGTATGGGCTCCAGGAAGTTGAAGGGGAAACATATGAAGCAAGAAAACAAGGGAAAAAAAAGCAGTTGAAAGCATCATGAAAGCAATAGGAGAAGACGACATGACCCAGCTGGAAATTTTTCGGAGAATAGGGGGGTTTGTAAAAAAAAAAAACCCGGCCAGTGAAAGTGACCTTCAAGGCAGAATTGACTCGGAACAGGATCCTGCAGGAGAAAGCACGATTAAGGGACATGCTGGCATACAGGAAGGTGTATCTCGACCACGACAGAACACAAGAAGAAAGGCAGAAACTGGTACAAAGGTGAAAGGAGGAAAGAGAGGGGATGGAGAAGACAGACAGGAGATCCCAGACACAGGAAGAAGATCAAATACAGCCTCCCTCACAACTTTCTATAGAAGCCTCCCAACCAGGTCAACCCCAGTGCAACCAAACACTCTAAACAAAAACACCCATGCCACGTCAAATGCCCCCACCCACTGCATTACAAACTCCACCCCCACAGCAACCACCCATAGTTCCTTATCAGGTCTTCCACTTCCCCAACCCCAATACACCTCCCAGACCACAATCTTAGAAAAGAAGTTGAAGGTGTGGTATGCAAATGCAGATAGAATAACAAATAAGTATGAGGAGTGGCACGAAAGAATCAAGGAGACATCTCCAGACATAAGAGCACTCACAGAAACAAAACTCACCAGAGTAATAACAGGTTCAATCTTTCCATCCGGATATCAAATCCTCAGGAAAGACGGAGGAGAGGGGGAGGAGGAGTTGCACTGCTCATTAAAAACCAGTGGGGTTTTGAGAAAATGAATGGAATGGATGGCACGGCCGGAACGGACTACTTAGTAGGAACAATCCAGTCTGAGGGACATAAGGTGATAATTGCAGTAATGTACAACCCACCACAGAACTGCAGGAGGCCAAGAGAGGAATACGATGAGAGCAACAGAGCAATGGTCGACACACTAGCCGAGGTGGCCAGGAGAGCACACATGGGGGGAGCAAAGTTAGTAGTTATGGGTGATTTCAATCACAAGGAGATTGACTGGGAAAACCTGGAGCCCCATGGGGGTCCCGAAATATGGAGAGCCAAGATGATGGATGTGGTACTGGAAAACCTCATGCATCAGCATGTTAGAGACACTACCAGAGAGAGAGAGGAGAGGATGAACCAGCAAGACTGGACCTTGTATTCACCTTGAGTAGTTCGGACATCGAGGATATCATGTATGAAATCCCCTGGGAGCTAGTGATCATGTGGTTCTGTGCTTCGACTACATAGTTGAGCTTCAAGTGGAGAGAGTAGCAGGAATAGGGTGGGAAAAACCAAACTACAAAAGGGGGAACTACTCAGGCATGAGGAACTTCATTCAAGACATTCAGTGGGAGAGGGAACTGACAGGAAAACCAGTACAAGAAATGATGGACTATGTGGCAACAAAATGCAAGGAGGCAGAGGAGAGGTTTGTTCCCAAGGGAAACAGAAATAATGGGAAGAACAGAACGAGTCCTTGGTTCACCCAAAGGTGTAGGGAGGCAAAAACTAGGTGTACTAGAGAATGGAAAAGGTACAGAAGACAGAGAACTCAGGAAAATAAAGAGATTAGCTTAAGAGCCAGAAACGAACATGCACAGATAAGAAGGGAGGCTCAGCGACAATATGAAAATGACATAGTATCGAAAGTCAAGACTGACCCGAAGCTGTTGTACAGCCACATCAGGAGGAAAACAACAGTCAAGGACCAGGTAATCAGACTGAGGAAGGGTGATGGGGAATTCACAAGAAACGACGGAGAGGTATGTCAGGAGCTCAACACGAGATATAAAGAAGTATTTACAGTGGAAACCAGTAGGACTCCAGGAAATCAGAACAGGGGGGTACACCAAGTGCTGGATGAGGTACTTATAACCAAGGAGGAGGTGAAGAAGCTGCTATGTGAACTTGACACCTCAAAGGCGGTGGGACCAGACAACATCTCTCCGTGGGTCCTTAAAGAGGGAGCAGAGATATTGTGTGTGCCATTAACAAAGATCTTCAACACATCATTTGAAACTGGGCAACTCCCTGAGGTATGGAAGATGGCAAATGTAGTCCCAATTTTTAAAAAGGGAGACAGACATGAGGCACTAAACTACAGACCTGTATCACTAACGTGTATAGTATGCAAGGTCATGGAGAAGATCATCAGGAGGAGAGTGGTGGAGCACCTGGAAGGAAACAAGTGTATAATTGACAACCAGCACGGTTTCAGGGAAGGAAAATCCTGTGTCACAAACCTACTAGAGTTTTATGACAAGGTGACAGAAGTAAGACAAGAGAGAGAGAGGTGGATCGACTGCATTCTTTTGGGCTGCAAGAAGGCCTTCGACACAGTTCCTCACAAGAGGTTACTGCAAAAGCTAGAGGATCAGGCACACATAACAGGAAAGGCACTGTAATGGATCAGGAAATACCTGACAGGGAGGCACCAACTAGTCATGGTACGTGACGAGGTATCAGAGTGGGCGCCTGTGACAAGCGGGGTTCCACAGGGGTCAGTCCTAGGACCTGTGCTGTTCTTGGTATATGTGAACGACATAATTTAAGGGATAGACTCAGCAGTGTCCTTGTTTGCAGATGATGTGAAGTTAATGAGAAGAATCAAATCGGATGAGGATCAAGCAGGACTACAAAGAGACCTGGACATGCTACAAGCCTGGTCCAGCAACTGGCTCCTTGAGTTTAACCCTGCCAAATGCAAAGTCATGAAGATTGGGGAAGGGCAAAGAAGACCGCAGACACAATATAGTTTAGATGGCCAAAGACTGCAAACCTCACTCAAGGAAAAAGATCTGGGGGTGAGTATAACACCGAGCATATCTCCTGAGGCGCACATCAATCAGATAACTGCTGCAGCATACGGGCGCCTGGCAAACCTACGGATAGCGTTTCGATACCTCAGTAAGGATTCGTTCAAGACTCTGTATACCATTTACGTCAGGCCCATACTGGTGTATGCAGCACCAGTTTGGAATCCACACCTAGTCAAGCACATCAAGAAACTAGAGAAAGTGCAAAGATTTGGAACAAGACTAGTCCCAGAGCTACGGGGATTGACCTACGAAGAAAGGTTGAGGGAAATCGGCCTGACGACACTGGAGGCCAGGAGGGTCAGGGGAGACATGATAACGACATATAAAACACTGCACGGAATAGACAAGGTGGACAAAGACGGGATATTCCAGAGAAGGGACACAGACACAAGAGGTCACAATTGGAAGTTGAAGACTCAGATGAATCAAAGGGATGTTAGGAAGTATTTCTTCAGTCATAGAGTAGTCAGACCGTGGAATAGCCTAGAAAGTGACGTAGTGGAGGCGGGAACCATACATAGTTTTAAGGCGAGGTATGATAAAGCTCATGGGGCAGGGGGAGAGAGAACCTAGTAGCAATCAGTGAAGAGGCGGGGCCAGGAGCTATAACTCGACCCCTGCAACCACAAATAGGTGAGTACAAATAGGTGAGTACACACATGCATATATTACATCACGTTTAGTCTTCAGATATATGATTAAATGAAGTGAAAATCACTCTTGATAAATATTAGATCAAGCTTCATATACATAGTGTTAATGTGGTTTAATAAACTTTATTCAGCTAATCTAGTTACTTTATCACATTGTTGTTGAAATTCTGTTTCTTTTAAGGGCACGTGAAGTAAAGTCATGCTGTGTGGACGGAGCCGCAACACCACCAGCATCATCACTCACTGCCTGTGATGACTCCCACCATCAACCATTCTCTGTGATGATCCCCAACATCATCACCCACTGCCTGTGATGACCCCAGCATCACCCACTGCCTGTGATGACCCCAGCATCACCCACTGCCTGTACTGACCCCCAGCAATACCCACTGCCTGTACTGACCCCAGCAAAACCCTCTGCCTGTGCTGACCTCCCAGCAACAGGTCAGCACCGATTGTGTCTTTCGTTTAAACAGTTTCTAAGAAAATGCCGAAAATACAAAGCACAGAGATGCATGAAGGAGAAACAGTAAGCAATAGTTGTGAAGATTCAACTACTCTCAAAACTTGCTTAAGTGTTCAAAGGAACGAGTGTAAAACAAAATGGTCACGGTGTTGTGAGAGCTGTTCCCATGATAGTCATGCTGCATGTATAGAAGACTCTCTAGATTCACAGACCAGTGCTGTCATTAGCTTGCAAGGCAAGTGTTACATCAGTTGCCTACCAAATGAAATTTTATTGCATATTTTCTCGTTCCTAAGAGTGCGCGAGTTGTGTGTGAGTGTGGCCCCTGTGTGTACCACCTGGCGGGACCTAGCCAAAGATCCAACACTGTGGACGCACCTTGTGTTTTCTGAGGAAGATAGAGCAGACGGAGATAGAGTGAAAAGCTTACTGAGAGCATCACCTTCGCTGGTCTCCCTGGAGCTGAGCAGACGTGAAGATGGTGGCAACTTGTTGCTGCAGGTGGCCGCTTCTTGTAATAAGCTCAGGGAACTCACTGTCCAGTTTTGTGATGGTTTAACAGAGGCTGTTTTTAAAGACTTAGTAATAAGGTGTCCCAACATACGGTATTTGAACATGGAAGGTTGTCAAGTGCACAGTACCCAATGTTTCCATATAATAGGGGGCTTCAGACAACTGCAATATTTACATTTATCTCGTTGTCAGTTATTAGATAATGCAGGATTGACCATTATTGCTAGACAATGTAACCATCTTGAATATCTTAACATTGATGGAATTATACACATACACGACTCTTCAGTAATGTTTCTGACAAAGAAGCTCAGTCACTGTCTCAAGAACTTATTCCTAGATGGTGAATATTTAACAGACGCCTCTTTTAGGTCGCTTCGAGATTGTTCACTTCTTCAAAAGCTCGAAATTTCATTTTGTGAACAAATGACTGATGATGGATTGTCTGGAATATATGGTCTAGAACATCTGACCTGGCTGAAGCTTCGTAGAGGTATCCAGTTGACTCCTGGTGGCTTGAAGGCAATGTTTCACCGTTTACCACAGTTAGTCTACGTGGACCTCAGCGAATGCTGTCTTATGGATGACTCAGTACTGTGGACTCTGGCATCGATGTGCCCTAGACTTGAGCATCTAAGGTTGAACTGGTGTTCGGATTTAACAGATGGAGGCATTGCAATCATAGTGGTTAGCTGCCCACGACTGCAAGTCGTCGAACTGGTCGGTATTCAGCGACTTACAGGCACTGCCTTAATTAGCATTCCCAGGGCTCTTCCTAATCTTGTTATATTACACCTTAAGGAGTGTAAAAATGTCGATAACACAATCTTACGGTACATAGTAGCCGAGAAACCTTCACTTTGTGTGTTCGACTGTTCTGGAAATCTGGTGGAACACCATGAGCCAAGCAATAATGATAGTGTGTCGAAATAATGGGATTTGTTCAGAATAAAAAAAATCACTGTATGACCCACAAGGGCTTAGTTCGTTTTTGTGACTATAATAACACTAATGATAGAAAACAGATATTTTAGATTTTGCACAACCATATTACTAAAAAACCTAGGACGAAGTCCTGTGATCAACAGTACTCTTGTTTACCATAACTGCAGGTCATGAAACAAAGTTATAGTTCGTTTCTTTGAAAATAAAAATTATTTTTAAATATGTATGTATAACATCATGAAAGCTGGTATGTTTTAAATAAGTAGCTAGCATTTTGACGGGAGTAGTGTATTGCCAGCAACAGTGAAGAAAAGATGTGCACAGCAACACGTAAATAATAAACGGTAATCCTAATTAAAGCTTGTTCAGGTGGCTAAGACTCATGTGCAATATTTAGGTATCTTTAGTACCGAGACATTTGATCTGTGCAGCTGGCTTCTTCAGACGAATACAGAGGTTATCAGTATATTGGAGATCGTTGAAGAAGTAGAGATTTTGAGGTGTTCAGTCCCGTCGCCGTGAAACTAACAGTTGAAGACTTGGACCCCTCAAGGGAGGTTCCTTGACGCTGGTGAGGGACTCTTGATTTGGAGAATTGGATCTGTACTCTGGTTTCCTGAATTGAGCCTGCATGCCTTCCATCCCTCCCCCCCACATGAGCTGTATAATCCTACGGGTTTAGCTCTTACTCATAATTATAATAATTGAAGAAGTTATCTTACTTGAGGTGTTCAGGCCTTCAGCCTAGATGGAAAGTGTTAGTCCCATAGCTTGGTAAGTCTGAAGTTGAAACAGATGGAGCTTATATACTCTAGCCAGATGTTAGGTGTGGCAGTTGTACATATTGTCAAAGAAGACTATGCCCACTAGCAGACTTGGTGGCTCAAGCTTGGCAGGTCCTTACAAAATCCAACACCTCTCACACACAAGAACTTACCAAAACATAAGATAATCTGTTGTAGATCAAAGTTGTATCATTTGCCATCTACAACTACTTTGGCCTACATTTTTTGTCATGTTCTTAAGTTCTTGTATAAAATAACATAAATAAGAACACAGATAAGTATGTTTATGGAGCAACTTGCAATGTGAACAGACTGACTGATGTTGTAGTGGCCAGGCTTAGGCTTGGTTACAAGTACTTCTGGCAGTTTGGGAGACACACAGATGATGATCAAACTAAATGCAAATTATGTGATCAGGCAATTGGTCACTGTCTTGAACACTATGTGCTTAATTGTCCACTTATTGAGTAATACAGAGATAGACAGTATAATAACCTATGTGATATGTCAAGATATCTTATTAATGAAAATAAGATACCAGATATAGTAAGCAAATTTCCTAAATTTGCTTGTAACATATAAATGAACTATAGATATGTAGATATAGACCCATATGTACTCCTGTTAACCCTTTTGAGGCAAGACAACCAAACATTGTACCCGCAAGACAAAACATTGTACCGGCGAGACAACCGAACATTGTACCGGCAAGACAACCAAACATTGTACAGGCGAGACACCCAAGCATTGTACCGGCAAGACAACCAAACATTGTACCGGCGAGACAACCAAACATTGTACCCGCAAGGCAACAAAACATTGTAAAGGCGAGACAACCGAACATTGTACCGGCGAGACAACCGAACATTGTACCGGCGAGACAACCAAACATTGTACCGGCAAGACAACCAAACATTGTACCGGCGAGACAACCGAACATTGTACCGGCAAGACAACCAAGCATTGTACCGGCAAGACAACCAAACATTGTACCGGCAAGACAACCAAACATTGTGCCAGCAAGACAACCAAACATTGTACCGGTAAGACAACCAAACATTGTTCCGGCAAGACAACCAAACATTGTACCGGCAAGACAACCAAACATTGTACCAACAAGACAGCCAAACATTGTACCGGCGAGACAACCATTGTACCGGCAAGACAACCAAACATTGTACCGGCAAGACAACCAAACATTGTACCGGCAAGACAACCAAACATTGTACTGGCGAGACAACCAAACATTGTACCAGCAAGACAACCAAACATTGTACCAGCAAGACAACCAAACATTGTACCGGCGAGACAACCAAACATTGTACCTGCAAGACAACCATTGTACCAGCAAGACAACCAAACATTGTGCCGGCAAAACAACCAAACATTGTACCGGCAAGACAACCAAACATTGTACCGGCGAGACAACCAAACATTGTACCAGCAAGACAACCAAACATTGTACCGGCGAGACAACCAAACATTATACCAGCAAGACAACCAAACATTGTACCGGCGAGACAACCAAACATTGTACCAGCAAGACAACCAAACATTGTACCGGCAAGACAGCCAAACATTGTACCGGCGAGACAACCAAACATTATACCAGCAAGACAACCAAACATTGTGCCGGCGAAACAACCAAACATTGTACCGGCGAGACAACCAAACATTGTACCGGAGAGACAACCAAACATTGTACCGGCAAGACAACCAAACATTGTACCAGCAAGACAACCAAACATTGTACCGGCAAGACAACCAAACATTGTACCGGCAAGACAACCAAACATTGTACCAGCAAGACAACCAAACATTACCGGCGAGACCACCAAACATTGTACCGGCAAGACAACCGAACATTGTACCAGCAAGACAACCAAACATTGTACCGGCGAGACAACCATTGTACCAGCAAGACAACCAAACATTACCGGCGAGACAACCAAACATTGTACCGGCAAGACAACCAAACATTGTACCAGCAAGACAACCAAACAGTGTACCGGCGAGACAACCAAACATTGTACTGGCGAGACAACCAAACATTGTACCAGCAAGACAACCAAACATTGTACCGGCGAGACAACCAAACAGTGTACCAGCAAGACAACCAAACAGTGTACCAGCAAGACAACCAAACAGTGTACCGGCGAGACAACCAAACATTGTACCGGCAAGACAACCAAACATTGTACCGGCAAGACAACCAAACATTGTACCGGCAAGACAACCAAACATTGTACCGGCAAGACAACCAAACATTGTACCGGCAAGACAACCAAACATTGTTCTAGGTTTATTGCACTAGGTTTAAATTCAATAAGACATAAATAAGAATATGTAGAATGCTATTTACGGTTAATACGTTAGTTAAACAAAGTGATGTTTTACAGGTGAATGGAAGATATTTTATTAGATCAGGACTGTTGACATTGTTTCTAGGACACGCAGGACTGTTGACATTGTTTCTAGGACACGCAGGACTGTTGACATTGTTTCTAGGACACGCAGGACTTTTGACATTGTTTCTACGACACGCAGGACTGTTGACATTGTTTCTAGGACACGCAGGACTTTTGACATTGTCTCTAGGACACGCAGGGCTGTTGACATTGTTTCTAGGACACGCAGGACTGCTGACATTGTTTCTAGGACACGCAAGACTGTTGACATTGTTTCTAGGACACGCAGGACTTTTGACATTGTTTCTAGGACACGCAGGACTTTTGACATTGTTTCTAGGACACGCAGGACTTTTGACATTGTTTCTAGGACACGCAGGACTGTTGACATTGTTTCTAGGACACGCAGGACTGCTGACATTGTTTCTAGGACACGCAGGACTTTTGACATTGTTTCTAGGACACGCAGGGCTGTTGACATTGTTTCTAGGACACGCAGGACTGCTGACATTGTTTCTAGGACACGCAAGACTGTTGACATTGTTTCTAGGACACGCAGGACTGCTGACATTGTTTCTAGGACACGCAGGACTGCTGACATTGTTTCTAGGACACGCAGGACTTTTGACATTGTTTCTAGGACACGCAGGGCTGTTGACATTGTTTCTAGGACACGCAGGACTGCTGACATTGTTTCTAGGACACGCAAGACTGTTGACATTGTTTCTAGAACACGCAGGACTGCTGACATTGTTTCTAGGACACGCAGGACTTTTGACATTGTTTCTAGGACACGCAGGACTGTTGACATTGTTTCTAGGACACGCAGGACTGCTGACATTGTTTCTAGGACACGCAGGACTTTTGACATTGTTTCTAGGACACGCAGGACTGTTGACATTGTTTCTAGGACACGCAGGACTGTTGACATTGTTTCTAGGACACGCAGGGATGTTGACATTGTTTCTAGGACACGCAGGACTGCTGACATTGTTTCTAGGACACACAAGACTGTTGACATTGTTTCTAGGACACGCAGGACTGCTGACATTGTTTCTAGGACACGCAAGACTGTTGACATTGTTTCTAGGACACGCAGGACTGCTGACATTGTTTCTAGGACACGCAGGACTACTGACATTGTTTCTAGGACATGCGGGACTGCTAACCTTGCTTCTAGGACACACAGGACTGCTGACATTGCTTCTAGGACACGCAGAACTGCTGACATTGCTTCTAGGACACGCAGGACTGCTGACATTGTTTCTACGACAAGCAGGACTGCTGACATTGTTTCTAGGACATGCAGGACTGCTGACATTGTTTCTAGGACACACGGGACTGCTAACCTTGCTTCTAGGACACACAGGACTGCTGACATTGCTTCTAGGACACGCAGAACTGCTGACATTGCTTCTAGGACACGCAGGACTGTTGACATTGTTTCTACGACAAGCAGGACTGCTGACATTGTTTCTAGGACACGCAGGACTGCTGATATTGTTTCTAGGACACGCAGGACTGCTGACATTGCTTTTAGGACATGCAGGACTGCTGACATTGGTTCTAGGACACGCAGGACTGCTGACATTGTTTCTAGGACACGCAAAACCACTGACATTGTTTCTAGGACACGCAGGACTGCTGACATTGGTTCTAGGACACGCAGGACTGCTGACATTGTTTCTAGGACACGCAAAACCACTGACATTGTCTCTAGGACACGCAGGACTGCTGACATTGTTTCTAGGACACGCAGGGCTGCTGACATTGTTTCTAGGACACGCAGGACTGCTGACATTGTTTCTAGGACACGCAGGACTGCTGACATTGTTTCTAGGACACACAGGACTGCTGACATTGTTTCTAGGACATGCAGGACTGCTGACATTGTTTCTAGGACACGTAGGACTGCTGACATTGTTTCTAGGACACGCAGGACTGCTGACATTGTTTCTAGGACACGCAGGACTGCTGACATTGTTTCTAGGACACGCAGAACTGCTGACATTGTTTCTAGGACACGCAGGACTGCTGACATTGTTTCTAGGACATGTAGGACTGCTGACTTTGTTTCTAGGACATGCAGGACTGCTGACATTGTTTCTAGGACACGCAGGACTGCTGACCTTGCTTCTAGGACAGGACTGCTGACATTGTTTCTAGGACACGCAGGGCTGCTGACATTGTTTCTAGGACACGCAGGGCTGCTGACATTGCTTCTAGGATACGCAGGACTGCTGACCTTGCTTCTAGGACACGCAGGACTGTTGACATTGTTTCTAGGACACGCAGGACTGCTGACATTGTTTCTAGGACACACAGGACTGCTGACATTGCTTTTAGGACACGCAGGACTGTTGACATTGCTTCTAGGACACGCAGGACTGCTGACATTGCTCCTAGGACACGCAGGACTGCTGACCTTGCTTCTAGGACACGCAGGATTGCTGACATTGTTTCTAGGACACACAGGACTGTTGACATTGTTTCTAGGACACGCAGGACTGCTGACATTGTTTCTAGAACACGCAGGACGGCTGACATTGTTTCTAGGACACGCAGAACTGCTGACATTGCTTCTAAGACACGCAGGACTGCTGACATTGCTTCTAGGACAAGCAGGACTGCTAACATTGCTTCTAGGACACACAGGACTGCTGACATTGTTTCTAGGACACGCAGGACTGCTGACATTGCTTCTAGGATACGCAGGAGTGCTGACATTGCTTCTAGGAAATGCAGGATTGCTGACATTGCTTCTAGGACATGCAGGACTACTGACATTGTTTCTAGGACACGCAGGACTGCTGACATTGCTTCTAGGACACGCAGGACTGCTGACATTGCTTCTAGGACACGCGGGACTGCTAACCTTGCTTCTAGGACACGCAGGACTGCTGACATTGTTTCTAGGACACGCAAGACTGCTGACATTGTTTCTAGGACACGCAGGACTGCTGACATTGTTTTTAGGACCCACAGGACTGCTGACATTGTTTTTAGGACCCACAGGACTGCTGACATTGTTTCTAGGACATGCAGAACTGCTGACATTGCTTCTAAGACACGCAGGACTGCTGATATTGTTTCTATGACACGCAGGACTGCTGACATTGCTTCTAGGACACGCAGGACTGCTGATATTGCTTCTAGGACACGCAGGACTGCTGACATTGCTTCTAGGACATGCAGGACTGCTGACATTGCTTCTAGGGCACGCAGGACTGCTGACATTGCTTCTAGGACACGCAGAACTGCTGACATTGCTTCTAGGACACGCAGGACTCCTGACCTTGCTAGGACATGCAGGACTGCTGACCTTGCTTCTAGGACAAGCATGACTGATGACCTTGCTTCTAGGACACGCAGGACTGCTAAACTTGCTTCTAGGACATGCAGGACTGCTGACCTTGCTTCTAGGACAGGCAGGACTGCTGACCTTGCTTCTAGGACACGCAGGGCTGCTGACCTTGCTTCTAGGACACGCAGGACTTCTGACCTCGCTTCTAGGATATGCAGGACTGCTGACCTTGCTTCTAGGACACGCAGGACTGCTGACCTTGCTTCTAGGACACGCAGGACTGCTGACCTCGCTTCTAGGATATGCAGGACTGCTGACCTTGCTTCTAGGACACGCAGGACTGCTGACCTTGCTTCTAGGACACGCAGGACTGCTGACCTTGCTTCTAGGACATGCAGGACTGCTGACCTTGCTTCTAGGACACGCAGGACTGCTGACCTTGCTTCTAGGACACGCAGGACTGATGACCTTGCTTCTAGGACACGCAGGACTGCTGATATTGTTTCTAGGACACACAGAACTGCTGACATTGTTTTTAGGACACGCAGGACTGCTGACATTGTTTCTAGGACACGCAGAACTACTGACATTGCTTCTAACACACGCAGGACTGCTGACATTCCTTCTAGGACACGCAAGACTGCTGATATTGCTTCTAGGACACGCAGGACTGCTGACATTGCTTCTAGGACATGCAGGACTGCTGACATTGCTTCTAGCACATGCAGGACTGCTGACCTTGCTTCTAGGACATGCAGGACTGATGACCTTGCTTCTAGGACACGCAGGACTGATGACCTTGCTTCTAGGACACGCAGGACTGATGACCTTGCTTCTAGGACACGCAGGACTGCTGACATTGTTTCTAGGACACGCAGAACTGCTGACATTGTTTTTAGGACACGCAGGACTGCTGACATTGTTTCTAGGGCACGCAGAACTACTGACATTGCTTCTAAGACACGCAGGACTGTTGACATTGCTTCTAGGACACGCAGGACTGCTGACATTGCTTCTAGGACATGCAGGACTGCTGACATTGCTTCTAGGACACGCAGGACTCCTGACATTGCTTCTAGGACACGCAGGACTGCTGGCATTGCTTCTAGGACACGCAAGACTGCTGCCATTGCTTCTAGGACACGCAGGACTGCTGATATTGATTCTAGGACATGCAGGACTGCTGACATTGCTTCTAGAACACGCAGAACTGCTGACATTGCTTCTAGGACACGCAGGACTGCTGACCTTGCTTCTAGGACATGCAGGACTCCTGACCTTGCTAGGACATGCAGGACTGCTGACCTTGCTTCTGAGACACGTGTGACTGATGACCTTGCTTCTAGGACACGCAGGACTGCTGACCTTGCTTCTAGGACATGCAGGACTCCTGACCTTACTAGGACATGCAGGACTGCTCAACTTGCTTCTAGGACATGCAGGACTGCTGACCTTGCTTCTAGAACACGCAGGGCTGCTGACCTTGCTTCTAGGACATGCAGGACTGCTGACCTTGCTTCTGTGATTTGCAGGACTGCTGACCTTGCTTCTAGGACATGCAGGACTCCTGACCTTGCTAGGACATGCAGGAC